CAAGAGGATGGGGCCAGCCTCTTCTCCGTGGTGCCCAGCGACAGGACAAGAGGCAACGGGCAGAAACTAAAACACAGGAAGTTCCATCTGAACATGAGGGAAAATTTCTTTCCTGTGCGGGGGTGACAGAGCACTGGCACAGGTTGCGCAGAGAGGTAGTGGAGTCTCCTTCCCTGGAGATATTCAAAACCCACCTGGATGCGATCCTGGGTAATGCGCTCTAGATGACCCTGCTTGAGCAGGGGGGTTGGACTAGATGATCTCCAGAGGTCCCTTCCAATCTCAACCATTCTGTGATTCTGTGTGGATTAGAGACGACACATGCCACAAAAAAAGTAGATATCAACTAAATCCCATGCTAAGATAACAGCCTGAAAGAGAGACCAAATCTACAAAATGAAGAGCAGGGGAAGGGCTGCGTGGGAATCCACTCTTCATCATCTCTTCCGAAAGAAGAACTAAGGGCCACCAACTGAAGCTAGTGAAAGCAAGGTTCAAAATAAATGAAATGAGATGTTTTTTCACCTATTAGGCAATAAGCCTGTGGAACTTCTTGCGTAGGAATTTGTACATGAAAGAAGTCTTACATCGCTGCAGGGGGAAGCTGGACAAGTACGGAAAGAGCCATTGGCGGCTGCTGATTAGACAAGCCATAAAAGGCTCTGGAAATGCCTTGAGCTGAAAACAGTTGGAACTTGTAAGAGTATTAGAAAGAGGCATGATTTATGTTTGCCTTGTCCTTATTCTTCCTAGGCATGCATTTATGGCCCTGTTGGAAGTAGAATACTGGTTTAGGTAGACTCTACCTTGATCAAACTCCATGGTCAGTGTTCTTTCAATAATAAGAAGAAAATAAATACACAACTTCACTCCTGAAGTATATAATTATGTGTTCTCTGTATTCCATTTTGTCAATATTTTGCTACTCTCATTTACCTCAGAAGGATAACTAGTCCTTTCCTCTGCAATGAAAAATGATCTTGAGAAAGATCTATGTTATAAATATTGCTATTGCTATAAATACAAAGCACTCCCATGCGCGTGGATATCTTCAGCTCTTAAAAAGTCAACTAGTTAGTAAGTTTGATTTACTCTCTGTTGATTTCCTGGGAATCTATACAGAATTATGAAAAGCTGATGGTTTATTCCTTTAACAGCTATTTATATATGCTGCAACAGCAAAGACATAACTCCCAAAGGAGGTATCATATACTGTTGTGAACACACTTGGAAAGAATTAAAACCAACAGCTGTGCAGTATTCCTTACATTAAAACTTCATGAAATTCACTGCTGGCAAATGTAACAAGATATACTTAAATAAAATAATTATAATGAGTAAGATTTGATTCCAAACTAACTAGAATTACTAAGGGAAGACCAGTGTACCCCTGTGTTACACAGCATGTCAGAACAGCATGACAAAAGGTTCCCAAAGAAAATGAAAGACAAAAGTAAGACGTTCCAGTATCTAACGCGTGAAATAAAAAAACAATACTGTACTGTAGCAACAAATACAGGGGCTGTCATGTCACTTCGCCTGCACCTCTGATCCCCTCCAACAAATCACTGCCTGTCTTACAAGCCCACGAGCTCCTCTCAGCTGGAATGCTTGCAGTGGTTAGACTTCCTTACCTTACTCCCTAAAATAGTAGAACAGAAAAAAAAAAAAGTGATGAACAGGAATTAAAATAATGTTATGGAAAAAAAGAACAGGGAAAGAAAAAAGCTGCACTTCATGGAAGGGAACAAACACTAAAGGACATGATAAAAAGATGTCAAATAATAAGAGTTATGAAAAAGGTGTAATAATTAGTTATAAAGATTCCACCCATCCTCTCTTACAAAAAGACAGAGGCGTATCCAAAAATAGAAATAAAATGAAAAACAGCATGAAAAGTTTAAGAAAGACCTCTCAGTAAATAAGCTTTTGGAACACAAAGTAATATCGTATCACTTATGCTAAGAGGGGAATAGGATTTTTTCAATGATTATGAACTTTGTATGGCTTGCATGCACATCTGCAGCTAATCGTGACAGGACAGAGTATCTATACAAATGAGACATGACAACAACCTCTGCTGTTCACAGCACAGACCATTCAGTAACTCATATCGGAAACTTCTTAGGGCAGCTCGCTCCTTTGTCCATTACTGGGTTTCTGACACCTTCCTCTGAAATATTTGGGAGTCGTCACTGTAGCTGGCCACAGACTGCACGCTGGTCTGGTATCAGAACCAACATGCTCTTTCAAATAAGGCCTGTTACCTGGGCGGACAGTCCTTTTCATAGCAGTTCTTTTGTCGTCCATTTGGCTGTGTTGCTGGGTCGCAGAAAGAGTTTTTGATTGCTCCACTTCCCTTCCGCATGCAGTGGGAAACCTGGCGCTGCACCCCTGGAAGAGAGACAAAAAAGCAAAGAGTCTCCCTCAGAGGTAGCGGACGAACCGCAGAAACCCTCCAGCGTGGGGAGTGCACATAGATTCTGCTCCACATCCGAGAACGCAATAACAGCTGTGGGACAAAAAGATGCACCGATATGATAATACATAAATTGCAGCACGCACGCAGGGCAAACACAGATGCACATACTTCATCAGGAGCAAAAGTCAGCTCTGCTGAACGCCTGAGCTAAGACAGGCGTGAGTATCCTTTAATCAAGCTGAAACGGATGCTTCTTGGGTTACTCAGGGATAAGAGGCAACACAGAGCAGCATGAGGCTATTCACAGCAAGGATGTTTTTGTTGATCTTCATGTTGTACTTATATGAAGATCAATTAAGCAGAAAAAGAAAAAAAAGGAGCGTTTCACTAAAAAGCTAACTCTGTGACCGTTAATGCTGCACTGCACTTTTAAAAAGTGTTGGTCCAGAACTTCACCGGAAATGACGCTATAACACGAGGAAGAAAATTTTCTGTTTTCTATATGACTGATACGTAGCACTGATTATTTGAGACAAACGACACTAATGCAGAGAGACAAAGACACATCCCAGACATACAGTTTGGGTTATTTACTAACAGTTCCACCCTCAAAAACTCCCACTCATCAAACAGAAAGAAACGTGAACCAGAATACTGCATCACTCGAACGAGTATCAGAAGAAAGCCAGTCTCCAGGGGCCTGCCTTCCCCAGGCAGTTTTGCAATAATTTGAGGTAGGTTCTCTGCTGCAAATCTAGTGTAAAAAGCATCGCAGTATTACAGTTTACAAGGTTGTAGCTGATACAACTGCAGTGCTGGCATTAAACTCAAACAAATCCCAAGGACTCTAAAAAGACAGAAGAATCCTTGTTTATTAACTCCCATTAAATCAACTGTGCTGCTAACTCACAGCAATTAATATGCAGAGTTTAGGTCACCGTATCTCTGTGACTTTTATCCTTCTCCAGGGAAGAAATGGCCCCAATAGCAACTACTAGTATGGTGTCAGGGATAAGCGCTATCATATTTTGCCGCATGTTTAGGAATGAAGCTTTTCTTTTCTTTAATGACTAGAATGGGAAACTACCTGAAAAACAAGAGTAGCAATCCCCAGATAATAGTACTTGGGAAAGACGAAAACTCTCCTCTGTATGACATACACGTATGTTTCTCTATATGACAATATGCCCATATATAGCAATTAAAACATATTTCCTAAAATTTCGTGCTAGAATTATGGCTTTCTCACCTCTTTTTATAATTTCACAGGGTTCAAAATTTTACTTCTCTCCAAAATGTAACAATCCACTTATGAAAATAAAAACAGAAAAAAAAAATAGGATACCAAATGCAATACTAGAAAATCCAGAGCTAGAAACAGGGGTAATTTTTGGTGAGAGAAGGGAGTCGGAGTGCACTTATGCAGGGGAAGGTTGCAGCTAGATGTTACTGAAAAAGGCCCACCCAACACAGAAGAAAATGGAAAACCTCTCTATGCCTATTTGAGTCAGAGAAGATGATAGAGACCTACAACCCCTTTTTAGAGCACTCTGTAGTTTTGTCAGTTCTGTGACACCCTGAGGAAATGCTACAGCTTCCAGAGCACTTGCAAACTTGTGACTGGGACATACAAGACAGGTACTTACGTCAGCACGGGATGTGCTGACCGACTCTCCTCCTGCAATACGTGAGGTTTATTTTCTAGAGTAAGAATTAGTTTCTCTTCAAAAGGGGGGGGGGGGGGGTACAGAA